ATATAAATATGAGTCATCATGCTTTGAATAGGGATGACGGCGCCTATTTACCAGAAGAATATATGCATCTTCTTGGCAGGTGACGTCATCCCTTGGGTATTTAAGAAGCCTCGATCGCAGTTTCAGATCACCCCTGATGAAGACACTAGACTGGAGTGTCGAAACGTTGGGTCTTGATTACAATTCGACTGGGCTTTGTAATCATTTATTTAAACCAGAGTAGCGAGCGAAACATGAAATAATGAATGTTTCTTCGTGCAATGGTAAGAATATTTTCATTCGGTGAAAGGTGGAATGTTCCATTCAACTCGGCTGTCGCCTCGTTGAATGGAACATTCCATCTTTCACCTCATGAAAATATTCTTACCATTGCACTCATAAACATTCATTATTTGTATACTATAATGCATAACCCCGAGCCCGCGATCATTTGTTTCATTTTTTAGCAATCGTACCCAGTCTCTCGAACAACTCGCGGTTCACAAAAGGAGACTTTTTAAAAGCGGAAATGTCAAATTTATATTTTGAATTTTATTAGAATACACAGGATAAATCACAAGAAATAGGCGCCCGAAGTTCGCCAAAACCTCTCTTTAGATTTTATTGAAAATGGTGGACGTGAAGGATTATAACGTGGTCGTATTGGGGTTGTCTTTTATGTTCATATTTACGGCGTTTCAAACAACTTCTATGATAGAGGTATAAACCTGTATAGTTTAATTCATAATTTCTGATAAAACATTGCGTAAAATACGACGAATTGCACTGTTTGCAGTAGTTTTTGTTTTGTTTGATGTTAGTTTATTCATGTGGCCAAAAATACAGAATTATTTTTTGGGATTGTAATTTTGAAAATCACGAGTTAATCACGAGACCAGATCCTAAGGGGGTGAGGGGTTCAGTGTCCATACTGCACTCGACCTTGAAATGCAAAAAATTTTACCTTCAATCAAAACATTTTTACATCCTGTAAGGCATGCCACAACCCACTTATGTCTTTTGTATGATATACATACAACCATGAACCATCCATGAATCTGTGATGCATATCATACAGGCATACTTTTTATTTGTGAGGAAATGACAGTCACCCCCTCACCCTAACACAAACATTCCAAGTTGTTCTGGTTTTCAGATGAAATATGTGCTTCCAGAAAGTACGTCATCTTGGCCATAGATGCAGTACTATTTGATTTACTTTGTATAATTTAGTCGGCATGTACTAAAACCCGAAACAACCGGAATGAAACCACCGGAACGAAACCACCGGAATGACCGGAACAAGAATCTGAAATGACCGGAACCACCGAAACCAAAATTGAACACGATCGGAACAAAGTAGTAGAACACTAAATAACTATCGTTCCGATCGTGTTCGATTTTGGTTTCAGTGGTTCCGGTCATTTCCGATTCTTGTTCCAGTCGTTCCTGTGGTTTCGTTCTGGTGGTTTCGTTCCGGTTGTTTCGGGTTTTGGTACATGCCAATTTAGTCTAGCACATCTAAAGTATTGCCATTTAATTTAAGTGTTACAACATAAATCGCTTTATATTTTCAATAGGAGAGCATATTAAAAAGTGCAAAAAATGAAAGTGTACCTCCTAGTGCATTTAAAGGCAAGTTGAAATTACCATGCATTTTACTAAATGTGTTGTGCATTTTATTGAATTAAATCAAAGTAACCCTACTTTGATTTTTATTTTTCTGTTTCCAGCAAGTGGATATAACAGGTACTGTAAATTTACATGTTGTTTAATTTAATATCATGAACTATTTCATCATGTTCCTCTGCTTATCCCCCATCCCATCCTCAAAGATATGAAAAACTAGGTTTTTTCAAGCAGGACAACAAATTTTTTGTTGCATTCTGCAGTGTTAAAACAATATGAATAATTGCTGAAGTGACCAAGATGACCGAGATTTTTTTACATTCAGAAAGACCAATCTTTCTGAATGTGAAAAATCTTGGTCATCTCGATAGCTATTGAATGATATGTTCTTCATGCCAAATGGATAAAAAATGAGCAAATACGAGTCCGATAAAAAACGTTAGTCAGAATCGCATATTTTCACCTTTGAGAGTTGGATCTAAAACCATTGAAAATTAACCCCCTTTGGGATTAAGTTGATGAAAATTCACTTCAGTAATTAAACTACGCACATATTCATAATTATTATTAAATTAAGTAGGAATAAATTTTAGCTAAGCTACCCGGTACGACAAGTTTGTGATTTAATTGCTTTTCTTTTGTTATGTAAGTCCTGCTTTAATTCGGCACAGAGGTGAAAATATGCGATTCTGACTAACATTTTTTATCGGACTCGTACTTGCTTATTTTTTCTCCACTTGGCATGAAAAACATGTCATTCAATAGCTAAAAGCCTAATCTTTCCGAATATGAAAAAATGTTCATGTGTCCAGGGCCGCCCAGAGGGGGGGGGGGGG